GGGAGGGGGAGAGAGGGGGAGAGAGAGAGAGAGAGAGAGGGAGAGAGAGAGAGAGAGAGAGAGAGAGACTGCAAGACCACAAAAGAATCTATAGCCGTAGCTGTCCTTGATACAATATGCAATTATGCATTATAACAGCGAGAGAAAGCGTCATAATCATGCTGGAGCTTACATAGCATCTATTACTGAATTGAAATCCTATCACATGACCTTGTGACGAGCTGAGGATTGATTCCACAAAACCGAATAATGCGCAGAGTAAAACAAACTGATGCTCAAACTCCAAAATAAAAGATGTGATAGAAGATAACAGGTTGGGATAAAAGATAGGTATCTGCAAAGCTCGCACAGCAAGCAGTTTCCAATCTTGCCATCGTATATAAGGGGACCTCCTAGCCACGCTCCATCAAATAACCAAATGGCCAACCAGGTTGGGCATGAATGTAATAAATGGAGAGTGGCAAGAAACTCTATATAAGTCTATAATGTTTCCAAACTCAATTGTCTGATCTTAATGCACATTTGATGAAAAACATTTTCCAGAGACGTAGTACAATGGGGATTCAAAGAACTCCAAACTAAGTTTGATAATGTCTTATGGCCCAATCTGCTGTTTGGGCATAGCAGTGAGCAAAAAAATCCCTCAATTTGGGAAAAAGACCAGGTCAAATCACACAGGTAAAGAAAATGTGTTAAGCAAAGAAAAGAAAATGTGTTACGTAACCACAACTGAGTTTCGCTCATTCACACATATAGAGATTCCGTTCTTCTACTGATTATGCCATAACTTATTCCTAAATGTAATTAGAATCTTGAAAATGTTACAGTTACCTTAGAATCATATTTTTTTTAAATGAAGCAGCTACAAATCAAGCATACACATGAAATTGAAGGAGAAGAATGAGATACTGATTTCAGCAAAAGCTGCAATATTGGTATACTTGCAGTCCAACAAACAACAACAACCCAGTTAAATCCCACAAGAGTAGGGTCTGGGGAGGGTGTGTACGCAGACCTTACCCCTACTCGAAAGTAGAGAGGCTGTTTCCAAAGAGACCCCCGGCTCAACGTCGAAAGTTGCATTGCTTGACTAACTGCTACTTCATTAATTAAAGAAGCGCAGACAGTTTAGAGATCCATTTTGATTTATTCCATCACACCCCAAAGCCAAAAAATGGTGAAATTTTGGCTCTATCGGAGATGATGGATCCATATACTTGCAGTCCAATTGCTTTAATTATCCTGCAGTCAAAAGCTGCAATTTTAATCTGCAACTTACCATTTTCGTAGAGTGTTTTGAATTTGACTTATTTAGTAAAAGTTAGCCATAATGTCGTTATAGTAAGTATCAGCCATCGGTGTCTGACAATGTATGAGTAAATTGCACATGAAAATCCAAGCCAGCAAACAGCATTGGGTGATACTACAATAAATAACTAAATGCAGCTTCATAAAACATGTCACACAGAATAAAAAGAAACTTTAGAAGCATGATTAATAGATACACCCTAAATAAGAAGCAAAACATGCTGGAGCAATACTCCTTCCATTTTTTTGGTTGTCCGTTTTGTTTTTGGGTGTCAAACTATGAGCAACTGTATACAAAAAAATATACAATGAATTAAATACAGAATTTCTACCATAATACTACCTCCGTCCCAGAATATTTGTCCACTTTCATTTTTACACACCATCCAATACACTTCTTTAATCCATTTTTTCTTGTAATTTGTATATTAAAAAATTATAGAAATTATATATTAATAATCTATATGTTAAGACAAATCAAACAAGATCACACATGACTATGTTTAGGCTTACACATTGAGAGAATTTGATGAGTCAAAATGCTTAGATGAACAGTTCCAAAAGTCAAAACTGGACGAATACTCCGGGACGGAGGGAGTATGTGATATGATTATATTTATAATATATAAAAAACCATTTTTGTTAGTATATTTTAAGTGGTAGTGTTGGTCAAAAACTACACACGGAAAGAAAAAAAGACAGATAATAAGACGGGAGTACCATTCCTATGTTAATCTCATGACAAAAATAACCATTTTTTAAAGAGGGTGTCCAGATTTGCTTTTTCATATCAAAAACATGCTCCATAATTGCTGTAAATTGTAATGCACTATTATATCCAGATCAAACAAGTGAAGTGACTACGGGTTACACGAAAATGTTGGCAAGTATCTACTCCATATAAAAGCTCCAAGCCCAATGTAAGCAATTTACATCTATCATCAGAACGGAAAATGAGGTACTCTGATCATTACTCATTTCTGGAATGTTAACATTATTATATGCAGTTATGCACAAGAGGTTTACTTACTGTGCTAGAATTCTGTTGCCTATGAACTTCAGGAAAATCCTCTGATCGAGCAGCTTCATGTTCTACAGCATGGTAAACATCTAATTACAATATGAAACTAATCATGTCAGCACCTAATGCAATTCGAAACAAAATAAACTTTCAGAATCAGAACAGAGAAGCAGAAGGAAAAGTAATATAGTAAGAAAACACTTTAGTAACAAACACAAGTCAATGATGTCTTTTCAACACTAAAGTAGGATTTCGCTTAATCAAACAAGACCCCTCGTATCATATCAGAATTCAGAATGACATTTGGTTTTTAAATAATGGGTAAAGGTCAAAGAGAATTTCTTTAAATTTATTAAGAGTTGTGAGTTGTGCTCAATCAAAGCCAACAGATCCTCAATCTCTTCCAATAATGGCAGTGATATTTATGTAGCATTTATTAAATAGTGAAATGTTTTCCTTAACAAATAATCGAAAATAGTTTGACATAAATAAAAATAGCATAGCAAAAAGTGTTAAGTGTGTCAAACTAAGGCTAAAAAGGTGGGGAAATTATAGAATGAATAAAACACATACAACCTATTTTCACCAATAGAGAAGAAAATAGCTACTTCAGTTTTATGTAGATCAACATGACTAAGACATTGAGTATTTATCATACAAAGAGCTGATATTCATCCCTGAGAACAATAAAAGAATCATTGTAATGCATAGTTTATGAATTAAAAATTACTACATAAGGCTCTTCAATCAAAGAAACATTGGTCTTGATGTCACTCAATGTGTGTTTGAGTAATACATGATTCAATGGCACTATAGCAGTTCCTAAGATCAACTACATGCATTTCGCAAGTCCGTTCAAAGCCTCAAACTACTTGAATGCTAAATGCTTCTCTTAATTCCATTAGGAAAAGAAATTTGATGTCAAGGAGAACCAGGAGTAGATTTTGACAATTATTACAAATTCAATTCAACGTCAAAGCATTTAATCCAAAACAGATGTTAAATCAAATGGTTGAGTTATTACTCAAAGCATTTTTGCAAGGGTGGGGGGGGGGGGAATCGGGATTGTGACCCAATCATTTCACAAGGAAGCACGTTTTCATTAATTACCTTGGACAATGTATGAATATAGTCTAATTTTATAAAAATGAAGAAAATACTGGCTTTTCAATACAGGCCAACAAACTATAAAGACTATAGAATCATGCCTAAAATATTAAATAAAGTTAAGAGACAGCCTCTTGCATGAAAAGACAAAGCTTCTTGGGATCACAAACTAGAAAACAAGCCACAGAGACAGAAAATAAAAAATGAACTCCATTTGTCGAATAAAAAGGTTCCACATTTCTTTTTTGTTTGTCCAAAAAAGATTCCCCTTTCCTTAATCTCTCTCTCTCCTCTGCACATAAGTCAACCACACTTTTACCTTTATTAATAACGGTGTCCAACCAATTGTGGGACCTTATTTTCGGACTGAGAGAGTATATATACATGTTAACAGCTATACTTACTATTAGGATCATTCTGCACTGAGGATTCAAAAGCACGTGGGGGAAGTGGTTCAAATTCAACACCGAGTGGAGGACCATCTTCACGATACTGCCTCCCTAGCTGTCCCTTTACAGCAAAAATTGCAGCATTCTCAACATGCCCCTTGACTTTTAAGTATCCTGATGGACCAGTTCTAGGTTTCACAGGCATATCTGCTGGACAACTATTTGTTAGGTATCTTGAATTACCCTCATCAAAAGATTCTGCATTAAGGGGGAA